AGCGTACTGTGCATCTTCTAGATCCATATGCGTCTCATCCAACATTCCATGGTCATCATTAATCCCAGCAACGTCTTCTAAGACTGCAAACATCTCATCTACTAGTTGATTAACTATTGGGTCTACACCTGAAAGCACTTCTACTTCACCATGGTGAATCCATGTTCTATACAATGGATCAAAACCAAATCGATGTATATGCGCTCTCACAGTTTCTACTGGATGCATTTCATGGTTTCTACATTTCATACAAGGACAACTGATATGGCCAATTGAAGTTGCATAATTTTTGGCGACCTCAATAAAAGCAGATAATCCATTCTAATATTCATTCGACAATCGGTTCCTCAAAGAAGTCCAACTTTTATCAATCAGCATTTCAACTATAAACGACAACAGACATAACAATTTATTAATGTGTTTAATTAATTTTAATTTTACTCTTAATTAACACTATTAAGTTTTATTAATTAAAGTGTGTTAATGACCTTTTGTAAATTATGGTTTCCTAACTAAATTTCGGCAGCATAACGACTTATTTTCCATATAATCCAAAAATCAAAACCTGCAGAAAAATAACTTTAAAAGATTTTGACACACCATAGCTGCAAGATGTGCTACCCAGAACAAGAATCATAAACATATACTAAATTTCAACAATATAACAAAATCATAATTCAAATATTGTCATCATAATACCGAATTCATACAACTACTACAATTCTAAACTAAATAAATATAAAAAACCTACAAAGTTTAAACCCACTAAACGGGGGCTGAAAATAGAAGGATTATGTCAGAGGAACCGTGCAAACAAGGACGAAGGTGAAAAATCAAACGCCTACATCAAATTAAAACATCAAACATAATTTTCAAACACCAAAATTAATAATTTATTAACATCTAGAGTAACATATAGACACAATGAGAGTTTAAAAAAATATTATGGGCTTGATCCGCTTGTATAAAAGCAAGGGCTACAGTAAAAAAAACGCAAAAACGAATGAATACTTTACTTTTTTATAGTTTTAAATTTGATACACAAATAAATTAATTGTTCATTCATAAAAAGTTTTGCATTAAGATTAATATTAAATGTTCTCATATGTCTCTCACATTGATATTCAATGAGAGTTTAATCTCAACATAATTGTTACTAATTAATGAGTCATATGTTGATCTATATGATGCATATAAATAGAAAATATTGATCAATAAAGTTAAATTTAAATTAATGAATATGAAAATTTAAGGAATCACTCGAAAATATACGAAGATAATTATCTAAAGTCCGGTCTAATTTTACGAAGCTTAATAATTTATGAAAGGCTACGACTAAAAATTCTATAGGGAAAAAAATGTTATGTTCTTCATGCTCGAATCTAATTCTAAGTATAATCTAGTTCTAAGTATAATGCTTAGAAAATGATTCTAAGTTCTAAGTATAATCTAGTTCTAATAACAAGTTATTACAGAATTAAAAAAACTGCGGCGGCGGCAGGAAACGGAAAGAAGAGAGAGAGAGAAAGAAGGGAAGAGAGAGAAAGACCGGAAGAGAGACAAGGGGAGAGAGGGAAGCGGAAGGCCGGCGGCGGGGGGCGGCGGCAGAAGGAGAGGGAAGAAGAGGAGAGATCCGCTCGGAGGAGAGAGAGAGAAAGCAGGGAAGAGAGAGAAAGAAGGGAAGAGAGAGAAGGAGAGGCCGATGGCAGGGCGGCGGCGGCGGCCACGAGAAGAGGAGGAGGAGAGAGAGAGAGAGAGCGTGAGGAGAAAATGAAGAAGAAGAAGAAGGGGATATTAGGTCAGAGTTATTTGTGACGACATGTTCATCGCAAATAAATTTAAAATATCGTCGCTAATAATAAAATATTTGCGACGACAATGTCGTCGCAAATTAATAAAATTTCATCGCAAATACTAAAATATTTGCGATGATATTTTCTCACCGCAAATATTTTAAAATCGTCGCAAATAATACTTTTTTCCCGCGCCTACTTTATCGTCAAATAAGATTATTTGCGACGACGGTAAAACAATGTCGTCGCAAATAAGGTAAAACTATTTGCGACGATAAATGTCGTCACAAATAGTCATCACTTGTCGTCGCAAAAAAATGGATTACCTTGGCGCCAATAATCCGCGCCATTGAAAATTGCGCGCCAATATTATTTGCGACGACATTGAAATTATTAGCGACGACATTGTTATTTTATTTAACGGTAGGTATTTGCAACGACATGTCATCGCAAATAGGGTATTATTTGCGACGACAAATGTCGTCGCAAATGGGCATAATTGTTGTAGTGTATCTATCAATTGTTTTCATGGGTTTTGGATTTTGGTAATTAATGTATATTTTTCTTAACTCCTAGAGCAGCTAAGAATTTGCATTTAAGTTTTTGTTTGACCTTATTACCGTAACCAGTAGTGTTTTTTTTTTTTTTTTTTTTTTTTTTTTTTTAAAAAAAAATTTTCCAAATCCAATAATTAGAGATTATAGTAATCTCTTGCGTCCTTCAACATTTTTGGGGCCTGAAGGGAAACTCTGCTTTGATTTGAATTACCTTTGTTGTATAAAATAATTTGATGAGAAATTCTCAAATTCTATCAATCATGTCAACGTTATTATTTGGTTGTTTAACACAATTTGATACGTAATGCTCAATAATCATCTCAATAATATATTGTGTGCGAAGGTTAATTTATAATAAAATTATAACGATCTATCCTTTGAATTCACTCACGTAGTTTTATACTTGTGATGGTTTACAATAAATTACTTAAGGAGAAGAGAAAATATTAAGATTATCTTGATTAATATCTATTGATTATGAAGATAAATTTCTTGTTTGAACTTCTATTGATGTCTTTTTATACACACAAATGATATACATGTCTCGGGCACATGCTTTATGGCACATTTAACATTGCTTCTCCTATCACTGTTTAAATTGTCCTTAATAGTAAACTGTAATTCTCAATCCACCATTTTTATTATCAAACCTCTACCTACTTCTCATCACATTAACAAGAGCTAGGTGTTAGAGAGAGACAGATTATCTTTCGGATGTTTTCAAATTTTAAATTCTATTATAACTCCAAGATTAGAATATAGGCGATAGGCTTTCTCACGTCTACTCATTCGAATTGAGATGTTCGATGTTTTTTTCAAAAATTTCGTTTTTTTTTTAATGGAGAAAATTTCGTTTTTTTAATGGAGAAAATTTCGTTTTTGTGTTTATGCATATTTTTTCCCTTTCAGTTGCATTTTTGAGTTATGGTGATTTGAGTGTAGATTTTGAGTTAAATTTGAGTTATAACTCGAGTCGAAGTTGTAACTTGAGTTTGTATTTAGTTGTGTACATTTGAGTTATGGTTTGAGATATGAATCTTTTTGAGTTTATATTTAGGTGGGTCAAAACTTGAGTTTTTATTTGGATAGTATTTTAATAAAAAATTCAATGGTAGTAGAAAATTTTATGGGTGAGATTTTATTCGTCTCTTCGTTGTGAGTGCATAGAAAAAAAATCATCTCAATCAGAATTAAAACGAAGAAGTTATGGCGTTTTTAAGAATAGAAAAAAATATTGTTTATTAACTTCAGTTTGAGGTTAGGAACTTGAGTTGAAGGAGGAACTTGAACTCAGATTTTAGCTCCAAACTCAAATTAAAACTCAAATTTTACAAAAGAACATGAACTTAAATAAAGTTTTAACTTGAGTTCAATTTTTTTTTGAGTTTGGGTGCAAATAAACAAATGGATAGAATGCTTTACTTGTGGATAATTATTCCCTTTCAAAGAGATTTGTAACTTCTTTTTAAGGGAATACATTGTCCATGTGCTTTACTTGTGGATAAGCTCTTCCGTAGGAAACACATGCAGATCAGTAATAGTCACCCCTCAACATAAGGAGAGGACTATGCTATTTGTTCCTGTCATATATATATATACACACACATGCTAGTCAAAAAGCGTGCGGAAAACAATGGGTATACAAATTGTTAAACAAAAAGAAAGAAGAAAAAAAGGATTAAAAAAAAAGACAAAAGTGAAAAAAGAACTTAAAAGACAAGAAAAGATACTAAAAAAAAGGAAAAAAAAAACTGATGCAAAACAATTCGCACATTTTATTAGTGTGGGAAACGTTTCGCATATTACTAAATCTGAAAACGCATTCGGCGCGTATGAAACGTTTCGGCTTTAGTAATATGTAAGATCAGATAAGATATATATACACACACACATATTTTTTTGACTATTGGAGATTTTTTATTTATTTCTTTTTTGAGGAAGAAAAGAGTCAAAAGCCAAGGGTTTTGTTGTGCAAAAGTGGTCGGCCCGCGGTCATACCCCTTTTGTCTCCCATGAAAAACTGTCTTCCGGAGACGTGTTAAATGCATAATGGAAGAAATCTGCTCTAATTATCCTCTCTTTTTTTTTTCCAAGGATAATTATTCCCTTTCAATAACAGAAAATATGTTATACGGTTGACATTCTATTGATTTGAAAAAAAAAAAAAATTTTAAAATTTAATTATCTGTTCTAGAAATTTTTTATTTTTATCAGTTAAGATATGTCATTCAAAACTTTGAATTAAACTATATTGTATATCAATGTTTTGAACAGAATTATTTAAAAACCAAAATTATATACATGTATATGCGGTTATGAAAACTCTGATATAGCGTCTCAAAATTTTTTTAAAAAAGGAAAAAATCCGATAAAGCTAGATGAAGATTTCAAAAGCCAAAAAAAAATAATGATAAAGTTAAGGAAAAGTCAAGATGAGTAAAAAAGGGGACGGGATGGGAATAAAAAGAACAAGATTTTTAACCAAAAAGCCTAAAAACTGACCATATTGACGTGGAAAGTTTATCTTAAAAACTAATTAAATTTGTGCGAATTACCCATTTTACCACTGCCACTCCCCATCCTTTTCCTCTATAAATAATACCATCTTCTCATGTATAAGATTATATCTCTTTTCTTCGGTTTCATTTTCTTTTCTTTTTTGCAAGATGAAGGCTTTTAAGTTTCTTTTTCTCTTTTTTTGTTGTTTTTATTTGATAAGCCTTTGTGAGGTTGAAGCCTCTCACAAGGTTTACTCTGAGTTTCAGTCTCTTGAGGCTGCCCAAGTTAAGCAAGTCCATAGAACTGGATTTCATTTTCAGCCTCCTAAGCATTGGATTAATGGTATGTTTTCTCTCTCTCTCTCTCTCTCTCTCTCTCTCTCTCTCTCTCTATACACACACACACATTTGTCTGTGTTTATATGTTATGTGCATCTAATATGTTTATACTATATATGGTATATTCACGTTTTCATTTTCTTATTTCAAAACATTATTTGTGGCTCTTTTTGTGTGTGTGTAAGTTTGATATTCTGATCTGCATATACGCTTCATATCTCTATCTGGGTTCTCTAGAATATTTTGTTTGCTTATATACAATTTCTTCTTGCATGGGGGTGTATTCTGTGCAATATATGTTTATGGGTCCTATTTTATATATTTATTTTTTGAGATTATTCTCTTTTTTATATTGATGGCTCCCTTTCTATGATTCATATATTTTGGTTATTGATGCCATTTGTGTATATGTGTGTCTATATATATATATATATATATATATACACACACACACACACACGTATAATGAAAGAGTTTTTCATCCGCCATTTAACCTACCAGGTTTTCGACTGATATTAAAATTCGTTTTATTCTTTTTTTTTTTTCCCGTAAAAAATGGATTTAGGGATGGAGGATATTTCATCTTGACAAAAGTAGAAAATATTAGCTTCAACTTTTTATTATCATTTTGAAAATCGTAACGGAAATGGCAATTGATTTTAAAGAGAACGGAGATGAGGCTATTAATCCGGCGAGATCCTTTCTGTTTTCAACTAGATACTTTCTATAAAACTAATAGATCGAATAAAATTTAAAAAAAAAATGAAAAACTGAAGAAACCAAATTTATATTAGGCAACTTTATCTAAAAAGCCAACTTTTTCGGTGTTTTTTTTTTTGGAAGATGGATCTCTTATTGTAGTGTGTGTGTGTGTGTGTGTGTGTGTGTATATATATATATAGCTCTTTGCCTACCATTTTTTTTTTTTCAGTGCCTGCCAAAATGTAAACATCAGTATAACTCTATAAGCGTATCATATCGTTTAGAATGCTAACACCAACGCATATGTTCTAGTTAAACAATGTTTATTTTATTTTGTTGTATTATTGTGATTAAGACGTGGAAGACTTCTTAAGTATCCGATTTCATCTTATAATTTTCTACCAAAAAGAAAAACTCATTTTTTATTTGCTTTGTAGTGAACTAGTGGTCTTGTGTGAGTTTCCTTTAGACCCCTCTGGGTCCTACTAATCACTAGATGCAGTTGAACTTCTTTTGTTGCCATATAGATCGTCGTTTTCTTTTTTTAATATATTCTTCATAAAAAGAGATCGGCATTTTCTTATTTCTTGCACTTCTTTGTGATGACATAAACTTTATTGCTCGTTTTAAAATTTTCCTAATAAAAAGAATAGGATTATTTTTTCCTATCTATAGGAGATAAATGTCACCTATCACAATCTGGTTTTCAATGACTGAAAGGGACTTGTGTGGCTTGAAGTTTATATACATGTAAATTAGAAAAAAAAAAGTTATATTTAACATGTATATATATATATATATAGATATATTACATATACATATATATAGATATAGTTCTTTAGGATATTATTCTTTCTTTCCTTGTGACATTAATAAATTAAAAAGCTAGGTTGGTTGCTATCCTTTTCCTAACTTATTTATTTTGCTCATGGATCGATCTGTGGTAATTATATTGGATTTGGTTTTTATATTTATATAGTGCACAAAAAAATAAACTTTTGCCCATCTAAAAACTGAAAGATAAGTTATTTTTATATCATATGTACCCCCACTATTTAGTTCGAATTAGATAGTTGGAACAATATTTGATTAAACAACCTAGCTAGTCTTCCATCAAACAAACCTAAACTTTTGTGGGCAATTTCTAGCACATCAAAAACTAAAGTTAGGGCTCTCGTGTCTTTGCCTCCATGGATATTGCTTTTGAGTAATATTCCACTGTACATGCTAAGGTTATTATTATATTTTTATATACTTGATTGGTTCTTAGGAGTACATATTCATATTAATTTATGATATTCTAAATATATGTGCAATGATGTTTCTGCTTAATTTCTGAAGCTTATGGGGAAAGACATAAATTTGTCAACTTGAGAGAAATAGTTTTATCGTATCTTTTTTCTTTTTCTGTAACAGGAAAAATATCTTCGCAATCATGAAATACCATGTTATTCATTCTAAAGTTAATGAAATTTTCTAAATTAGGCATGTTTTTTAGTACCTTTATACCTTGCACAAGTCAAATTGTCGTTCTGTTTATATTCCATCAAGTTTTGTAAGGTTCCTTTGGAGCACATTTTTTTTTTTGGACCACTTTTTTTTTTGGAATAAATTTTGACCAAATTCTTCCAAAAAAAAAAACAAAAAAAGAAACGACGGGCCACATTTCGTGACTAATATGCTTTTTGTTATATTCCCACAGTAATTACTTTCCCTTGCATTTATTTGATCATCAGCCAATGTTTATCTGTTAGGAAGTCCAAATTTTAGAATTGATTATATATTCATTTATTTATTGATTTTAAGCTTTATTCGTATTTCAGTCTCTGACTGTCTTTCTTTGTTTTTCTTTCCCCTCTCCTCTCTTGGTGATGTTATCCAACTATCCGAATAGACCCAAATGGTGAGTACTATCTGCCTTTTTTTGTTGTTGTAAAATTTTAAATTAATTTGTTAATTCATGCTTAATTATTTCTCGTAATTAATTTTCTTAATCTAAATGAACAGGACCTATGTACTTCAATGGAGTGTACCATCTATTCTACCAGTATAACCCCAAAGGTGCAGTGTGGGGCAACATTGTGTGGGCCCATTCTGTGTCAAAGGACATGATCAATTGGGAAGCTCTTGATCCTGCTATATACCCTTCTAAGCCATTTGACATAAATGGATGTTGGTCCGGGTCAGCCACTGTCCTACCCGGTAACAAGCCCATAATATTGTACACGGGTATCGACCCTCACAACTATCAGGTTCAAAACTATGCCCTACCGAAGAACATCTCCGACCCATATCTTCGGGAATGGGTCAAGCCCGACAACAACCCGATAGTCTTTCCCGATGCCGGTGTAAATGCCACCGCGTTCCGCGACCCTACGACCGCTTGGTGGGGTAAGGATGGACATTGGAGGATTATAATTGGTGGTAGGAGGAGAAATAGAGGGATGGCCCACTTGTATAGGAGTAGGGACTTTGTAAATTGGGTTAAGGCAAAACATCCTTTGCACTCTCAAGCCAAGACCGGAATGTGGGAATGCCCCGACTTCTTCCCGGTTTCGAAATCTAGCAACAACGGATTGGACACGTCAGCGCATGGAGTTGATACTAAGCATGTTTTGAAAGTTAGTCTCGATGTTACTAGGTTTGAGTACTATACACTTGGAACCTATTATCCACGTATTGATAGGTATGTGCCGGATAACACCTCGGCTGATGGTTGGGATGGCCTAAGATATGATTATGGTAACTTTTATGCCTCAAAGACATTCTATGATCCTGCCAAGGGAAGGAGGATTTTGTGGGGTTGGGCCAACGAGTCTGATAGTACTCATGATGATACCCAAAAAGGATGGTCCGGAGTTCAGGTATCGATCTTTAACACCTGACGGTGTTAAGCACCATAACTATATTATATATTTGTGGATATATATATATATATATATATTCTATAATTCATATTGTGAGACTCATTTTTTATTGGTGCGGTATTGTGCCTCATCGGTACGTCTGACATTGTAAGATTCATTATACTGCCTGCGAGACTTATTTTCTTTTTTATTTTTTTCTCTTTTTGTAAGGCTATTCCAAGGAAGATATGGCTTGATCCCAATGGAAAACAATTGCTTCAATGGCCCGTTGAGGAAATTGAAGCTTTGAGGGGGAACAAAGTGCAAGTGACCAACACAAAACTCAAAAAGGGAGATTCTCTTGAAATTAAGGGAATAACTGCTGCTCAGGTATGTTTCTTTAAATTCTTTTTATAAAAAAAATTATCTTTTTTTTTTTTTTTTGAAATCGTAAATTCTTTTGTTCTCTATTTCAGGCTGATGTGGAAGTTACATTCTCATTTCCAAACTTGGACAAAGCTGAGAAATTTGATCCAAGCTGGGTTAAGGCACAAGACCTTTGTGCCCAAAAGGGCTCAAAAGTCCAGGGTGGTGTTGGACCATTTGGTCTTTTAACTTTGGCCTCAGAGAAGTTGGAAGAGTTCACCCCTGTTTTCTTCAGAATATTTAAAGCTACAGATAAACATGTTGTTCTCTTGTGCTCTGACGCATCAAGGTTTGTCTTTTTCTTCACCAAACCACCATAGAATTATATTCTCTTTACTTAATTTGTTACCCAAAAAAAAAAAAAAAGTAAACTGCACAAACAAAATCGTTTTCTATCTAAAGGGGTCTCCCCCCTTTACTTTAAGCTAATCTGATGGCCATAATAATAGTCCCCACCTCAGCTTCAATAATTAGACACTCACCATAATTGATGCTGAAAGAAAAAAAAAAAAAAAAAAAGTTAACTGCCCAAAAAAAATTGTTTTCTATCTAAAGGTGTCTCCACCCTTTACTTTAAGCTAATCTGATGGCCATAATAATAGTCCCCACCTCAGCTTCAATAATTAGACACTCACCATAATTGATGCTGAAAGAAAAAAAAAAAAAAAAAAAGTTAACTGCCCAAAAAAAATTGTTTTCTATCTAAAGGTGTCTCCACCCTTTACTTTAAGCTAATCTGATGGCCATAATAATAGTCCCCACCTCAGCTTCAATAATTAGACACTCACCATAATTGATGCTGAAAGAAAAAAAAAAAAAAAAAAAGTTAACTGCCCAAAAAAAATTGTTTTCTATCTAAAGGTGTCTCCACCCTTTACTTTAAGCTAATCTGATGGCCATAATAATAGTCCCCACCTCAGCTTCAATAATTAGACACTCACCATAATTGATGCTGAAAGAAAAAAAAAAAAAAAAAAAGTTAACTGCCCAAAAAAAATTGTTTTCTATCTAAAGGTGTCTCCACCCTTTACTTTAAGCTAATCTGATGGCCATAATAATAGTCCCCACCTCAGCTTCAATAATTAGACACTCACCATAATTGATGCTGAAAGAAAAAAAAAAAAAAAAAAAGTTAACTGCCCAAAAAAAATTGTTTTCTATCTAAAGGTGTCTCCACCCTTTACTTTAAGCTAATCTGATGGCCATAATAATAGTCCCCACCTCAGCTTCAATAATTAGACACTCACCATAATTGATGCTGAAAGAAAAAAAAAAAAAAAAAAAGTTAACTGCACAAACAAAATCGTTTTCTATCTAAAGGTGTCTCCACCCTTTACTTTAAGCTAATCTGATGGCCATAATAATAGTCCACACCTCAGCTTCAATAATTAGACACTCACCATAATTGATGCTGAAAGAAAAAAGAAAAAAAAAAAGAGTTAGATCCTGATCTACCCACTATAATTGAGTGAGAAAAAGATGTTATGCACGCGCAAAATGAATATAGTGAAGGTGTACAGCTAAACCCTGAAAGTAGAGCCAAGAATAATATATTTGGTATATATATGAAGCTGCTTTTTCCTAATTGGTACGAGAATAACATGAATACATAAGAAATATTAAAGAAATATAGCTAAATTTGATATCTGAAGCTCCACAGCCCTTAAAATTACTAGTGTGACTCATTTTGTACAAAAGAAGCTCACTTTATTTTCCTGAAGTAATGATTTATGAAAAGTTTGGAGGTTTAGTAGATGACGCAACTTAATTTGATACCACACACACATACATACATATATTTATATATGTGTATGTATACATATACATGAACAGATGCGTCAATACTGTGCTTGTGCGATGTAAACACGGTTAGCTAACAGACTTTGGAAGCCTTCTTTTCAAGGATAAATAAAGAAAAGAAATGTATTTAGGCCCCGTTCATTTCGTCGATTCGAGTTTAGAATTCCGATTATATTTGTAATTATCTCAATAATATTTCTTTTTATACAAAAAGTCTCCTTTTTCCAAATAGAACGAGGAAAACAGTTGCATATATATAGACTAATTAAAAATGAATCATCTACTGCAATACTATAATCCTGCAAATTAAATCTGTTTTCTTCTCTCTCTCTAAGATCGACACTCAGCCTTCTGTGACAAAATAGGGAAAAAAAAAAAATTAGGTATATCTTTCCACCAACTTTCGTTGAATGCGCCCAGGAAGAAAATGTTGCATACAATCGTTCTGCAAAATTTGACTTTTCATGAATTCATTTTGTCATCTCTTTATGAAAATGTTAAATTTCTCGAGAAAGTTTTTTTACTAGAACTATTGAACTACTGAATGGAAAAGGGTAAACAGTGTGGATGGTTGTATGTTTCAATTAATTTTATTTTTAATGGGAATAGTCATCTGAGTATGTTTCAATTAATTTGTACAACTAAGAACTGATCACTTTTGCATGTTTAGATGAGATGACACCAAATTAAATATGACATGGAGATGCAAAACACAAATTAAAATGTGACTAGAAACTCCACAAAGTTTTGAGAGCTTATTTTCTAATTTTCCCTTTCCAGAATCCACAAGTTAGTGTAATGACTACAATATTCTCTATGCATTCCACATAAATTATTGAAAACAATATCTCAATTTTTTATTCCTCGCTTAAGTATTGGAATAAAGAGTATATTAATCGGTCGGTGTTACTATCAAATGAAATTATATACCGTATTATAAAAAAATGCTAAGCATCAGTTTAATATGCTTAAATGAGGTTGGTTGATATGCAGATTTTCTGCAACTACTATTTCAAATTCAAGTGCTGTAAACTGAATATATTTAGTTTATTTGTTTCCTATTTTTATGAATATACAGTTGGCAGGATTGGTTTTGTACAGATTGTATTCAAGAAACTTATTATAAATTGTTTGAAATTAATCATCGAATGATACATTTTCACCTTCCAAGTTGTTAGTTTGGTATCTGTTAACATCGATATTGTACGTAACATCGTTAATAATAACTTAATTTGAACAAATGTGATTACGTTTTAGTTTTAAAAAAAAAAAATTCATGAATTAACTTGTGTATAGAATACAAAAAGACACTGCAACAATATTTTTTTTAATATTATCGAAAATACGCATGCCCTACAATAATAAGTTGAATCGACATCGGTAGACTGTAGGGATTAAGTTGAACAAAGTTGAAAATTTTGAACCAAGCTGGGTTAATGGACTAGACCTTTTTGCCTCGACTAAAGTCTAGATTTAGTGAACATTTGATTCATGTATTCAGAATCATGATTCAGAACTATTCTTGTTTTACGTGTTTTTTTTGTGAGAGAAAAATACTATAAAGAATCATAAATCATGGACGAATACAAGAAACAAACATTCCCTTAGAATGGCTCATAAGTTCAAGGTGGGGTTGGACCATTTGGGCTTAATTATACATTAACTTGAGAAAAGCATTTCTCAATCCTATAGCTCCTGGTATTTCTCCTTTTGTTATCACTAGGTTTGGGGACGTGCTCTGGACGATAATACTATCGTGTATGAGAAAGCTGAACGACTTATTAACAAAAAGCTTTTTGATTATAAATATATAATAGTAGGAGATATAAAAAAAGGAATTAAATAGATGTATAATTGTGACGCCTCCCGCCCTAGCGGCAGGTAGCCAATCTTAAACTACTACTGATGGGCTGACTTATAGTCTAATCTATCACTTGTTATTAGACTATCGTCTCTTTAATTTACATTTTTCTACGAGTAAATTTTTTTTCTTTAACCCTCGGGTTCTTAACATGTTCCTAGCATGTTCTTTTGTTATACAACAACTTATCCTTGCTAATACTTTAAGAAATCGGATATGGAACTAGTCCCCGAAACTTATCTTAACTTATTATAGTCTATTGTTCTTTACTAAGACAATGACCGTAACATCTCTTTCTTAAAACTGAAACATATAAACTTGGTTCTATATTACATTACTCTGCAGCGGAATTTATTCTGTAAACGAGCATAGTAGAGACCGCTCCCGTGTACCCATGACATTTCTGCCACCCTTGCCTCTTCCGGTCCATCAAGCAAAACCACTATATGGTTGGCTGCTTACCTTTGTTACCTGCACATGAGTAAACTGATGAGCTAACGCTCAACAAGTATAAACATGCACACATCATAAACTAGAAAAGAATTACATTAAAAGTTATGATGCAAATATGCTCGTGTGAAACATGCTTTCTGTCCTTTTGTTCTTACTACTGTGGGCCTGGGCCCCTGCTTATTGTCTTGTTACTGTGGGCTTGTGCCCCTGCTTACTGTCTGGTCTAGTCGGAATCTCTACTCTTTGAGATTTCCTCCCTTGGGAGGCCGACGACCCGTCAGTCTCTTTACATTACTGAACTTTGAGTTTTCATTTCAAAGTGTTAAAAACTTTACTGAATGATATGCAACGTTTACTCTACGTGCATACCCTAACATGAAAATGCAATATACTTCTTGCGTACTTTAACTGTGCATAGGGGTAACCATATGTCGCCCTTCTGCAATCTAGAGCACTGGGCCCTCCAAACACGTATAATCACATAGACTTAGGAACATAAGTAAATTCATAGTTTTAAGTCTAACTACAGCTTACTCGAGTCCCGACAAACATATATGCCTATACTTACAAATAATCCACTAGGATTCCCGCTTGCTGGAAGTTCTTTCTCATTGTCTCGGCTCTCGTGCCAAAACCTGTTTCATGAAAATAGGTATAAATTTCCTATTCCAAATCACAATTCTTCATACTTGATTCTTAAATCTAATTTCAACTCACTTTTGAACTTTATTCCTCTAAGCCGAATTGTCTAGCTTAAGAGGTAAATTCCATAATTTGAGTGTTTCGACTTCTGAAACCTCAATTTACTCATTTCTGGGTCTTAAAACTATTACTCATTCTCTAGAATTGAATTACTAACTCATTGCTTACTAACTAACTTTTAGGAAATTTCGGCAGAGTTTCGCCTTATTTTTCTCGTTTCCTGAGTTTTCAATAACTCGTTCTACTTCCGATTTCGGTATCTGGAGTCAAAATTCACATTCCTGAACACATATTCCAACATAAAATTGAACAAAACACATGTTCTTTCTTAATCTAGGCTCACGGATTTTCAATAGAAATCCACCAAAACTTCGTTCAATCGTTTTAATACTTACACCGTTAGACTCCTATTACGATGTTCTACAAAACCTCGCTTCCGATTTTTACTTTAACGGAAGTTTTTCGAGATGGGTTACTATTCATTCAAATCAAGAAATCATAGAA